AGGCGTATGGATATTATCCTATCACTGACAGCATTGTACTTCAGGACAGATCTTGAAACATCCTTTGTGATGATGAATGCCATGCCATTCCTCTTTAAACTGTCATTCCTGGCATGGTAGATCATATGGTGTATGATTCAAAATGACCAAAACCAGTCCTTTTCAGCTTAGTGATGCTGAGGATATCAATCTTTATGTGTTCCATTTCATTTTTGACAACTTCCAGTTTTCCTAGATTCATACTTCGTACTTTCCGTGTTCCAATAATGCAGCTTTTGCCCAGTGCTACTTTGAGAGCTTTCTAAGCTAAGTGACTCCTAATCCTCCTCTGTATTGGACAATGTTTCTGGATTGTTCATAAAGTTGCACAATAATGTATCAGACAGTGTTTCTTTGCTATTCATAAAGTTTTCCATGGCCAATTCTTTGAGAAGTGGATGGCCTCCTCCTTCTTCCTAGTCTGTCTCAGTCTGTAAGCAGGGCTGATACCTGTTCACCAAGTGCACCCTACTGGGTTTGAAACACCAGTGGCACAGTCTCAAGACTCACAAAAACACGTCACCACAGTAGGACAAACCGACAGACAAATTTGTCTTCTTTAGCTGTTGGAAACCCCTCTAACCACCCTTTTCTGGATCCTTGCAGCTAACTCCTCAGTCTGTTCCAGTCCCCTTTTCCTTTTCTGTCCCCTCCCTGCCTTCCTGCCTTGCTCCTTGTGGGGTGTAGCCTGGGTTCCCTGTCTTCATCTGGGTCCCTGTGGCTGACTCCTCAATCTGTTTCGTTTGCCTTTGCCTTTTCTGTCCTCTCCCTGCCTTCCACCTTGCTGCCTGTTCTTACATCCCTGGAATCCGAATGAGAATGGTATCACTTTAAAATCCAAAGTGGTTGGCACTTGTAAACATTAAAAATGGCTGCGCCCTCTGTCACTTTACACATCCAAAATGGCCGCCGCTTGTAAACATTCAAAATGGCTGTGCCCTCGGTCACTTTAAATATCCAAACCATTAGTTGGAGCCAACTTCATGACACCTTAAAACAATAGCATTCTTTATCCAGGACTCTGCAACTGCATTGACATCCTTGATAACCACAGTTGCTATCCAGACCTAGTAATCACATAGATTCAGGAAGGGAGCATACATTACTTCAATTTGTTTATAGTGGTAGCACAGAAGCCAAAAGATGAGAAGAGACTGAAAATACAGAAGATGGAGCAAATTCCCGAAGATGAGGATAAGTGTGGATGTGAAATTGACCGAGTTCCAGCTTTGTGGTCTCAGTACATTGTGAGACGTAGGAGGAAAAGTCAGGGTCAACTAAGATTATGGCTTAACCAAGTACTTGGTGATTTTTGAATTTTTTTGTTGCTTAGATTTTTTATATTCTGTATTGTTAGAGATTACTCTCTTTTGAAATACTTTTTTGAAAATATACTTGTATTGTTTCCAAGGTTTATACAATTTACTGAGTATATCTAAGATTCTAGACAGTTCACTGATTTTATAATACCTAACCTTTGAAAATTTATCATCCAGCTTCAGGCTACTTCCCTAATTTAACTTTTCCAAACTGAAAAAATATGTTAGCATGTAAGAATGTATTTATGTCTCAGAGTTTATGTTTATAAACATTATATATTATACATAATTTTTCATATTGATATGAGATTATTATCATCAAATATTTATTCTTCATTTTATGGTTTAAGTGTGATACTCTTGTTTAATACATTGAAGTCTGTTAATTATTCCTGTAATTCAATGTAGGTTATTTTGGACCTAAACTATTCAAATGTAGAGCATTCTTTTATTTATCATCTCTCTGTAAATTTTAGGGCTGAACGACAAAGGAATGAAGCACTATATAATGCTGAAGAGCTGAGTAAAGCTTTCCAACACTATAAAGAGAAAGTTGCTGAAAAATTGGAAAAGGTAAGTGGTAGTTGTGCAAGTTCAGTATTTTGTATTGCTGTCACAATTCTGAGGAGCTCTGATGGTGCAGTTCAAATCCACTAGCCACTCCATGGAAGGAAGACAGGGCAATCTACTTCTGTAAAGGTTTATCACCTTGGAAACCCAGTGTCGGTTTCTTTGAGTTGGAATCGACTTGATGGCAGTGAGTTTGGTGTTGTTTTGTTTGTTCACGATTCTAGAAATAAAGTTAGATATAAATAGAATATATTTATTTATGGTTAAAGAAGGGAGTGATTTTTATCAGAGTGATTTAATAAAAAATAAAGTCACTGAAATGAGGAGTTTGTAAATACCAATGATTGTTGTTCACCATTTCTTATATAATTAGCCAAAACGTTTTATTTATCTAAAGAGGGAAAATTCGGCACTGGAGTTAAATGAAGGGACAAAATAAAGAGAAAGGTGGGGTAGATGAATGGAGGTTAGAGATACAGAAATAGAATCAAGATACTTATTCTTGAGGAGAGGAAGATGGTGTCATACCTATAATATGCACGTTTAACCAACTTAATCCCTGATTATCTAGGTAAAGGAGATAGAAATGGTATTGGAGCTATGAGCAACTAAGGAGAAGATAGAGAGCAGATTAAACAGCTGGGAAAAATAAACAAACCCACCTTGCTGGTGGAGGCTGAGATGGAGGAGATGACTCATTAGAAATACAAAAGAAGTTGTTGAAGGGAAGAAGGGGAAGAGGGAAAAAAAAAAAAACTATCATGGAACTCACAGAGACTTGAGGACTCAGAATACCTGCACCAGGACTTGTTGGTCATGACCTTGGGCTCTGAGTAAATAGATAATCTTACTGGGAAATGGATCAAGACTCCTCCCCCCTTAGCTTGGGCTGTTGGAAGTTCAGAAAGGAATGGGGGAAAGGGAGAAACTCCTTCAGAGGAGGTGAAACCCTGGAATGAGTACATGGCAGTGGGCTGGGGTTCAACTTTTCCATGACCTCTTTTAGCACAGAGTGGACCGGGGTACTGGATTTTTGACGCTTTTTGATCCAAGTGGAAAGTAGTGGCTCTCTGCCCACTGAGGTCTCTTTCAATTTTGAACTGCGGGTCTTTGATTCACAATAGGACATCATCATTATGTAGACATCTTAGAAAGACACAAACTACCCTGCCTGTGCCTGCATCATGAACTGTCTCCCCCCAGATGTGGAAAACTCCTACCTTTCTATACAGTGGCTGGCTTCTGGTACCTTTTTTTTTTTTTCCTTCCTTTTTTATTTCTTTCTCCCCTGCCTCATTCAATGGAAGGAACACGTTAAACCTCCACCAGGCAACAAGAGTATTTACACTGAACACCAGTATCATCTGTGCCCCAGAATCAACAACAGATGGTGGACAACACCTGCTCATCCCAAGTCCAAATTGTCTTCACAGTGAACAGAGACCTGCACCCACGTCCCCAACAGTGATTCCAAAGAAAAAGAGAGAGCTGGAGAGCAACCCAGTACATCTGAATTAATAACCAAAAAAGTACAACTGCTCCACACTTTCAGATATGGTGAAACATAAAATGAGGGTGAAGCAAAGCAATACATAACTAACAGTTAAAGACAACAGCTTCAGAATGTCTAGGAAACAACAGTCTCAAAAAAAACAAATAAAACAAACAAACAAAGAAACAAAAAAAACAGAGGACAAGATAATAGAAATAAAAGCCCAGGATAAAGAATTATCTATCGTGGAAGAAGATCAAGCAATAGAACTATCTGAGAAGGAATTCAGAAGGTATATATATATATATATATATGATTCTCTAAGAGCTCAAGGAATCCATAAACAGAAACAATGAGAAGACAGACAGTACCCTGAAAATCATTCAAGAACAAAATAACAAGATAAATATACAATTAGAACTCACACAAAAACAGCAATTAGAAATCCATATGAACACCAAAATTATAGAGGTAGACAATATAGTGGGACAAAAGAGTAGACTAGAACTGGTTGAAGAATGCATTTCCCAGTTAGAAAATAAATCCCTTGATGCCAGTCTGTTTGAGGAAAACTCAGAATAAAGATTTAAGAGAAATGAAGAGAACCTAAGAGTTCTATGGGATGACATGACAAGAAATACCATATTCCTGATTGAAATATCAGAACAAGAAGAGGGGAAAAAAAAAATTCGAAGACTTACTAACAGAAAATTTCCCTTATATCATAAAGGAAGAAAAAAACATCTGTCCAAGAAGCTCATTGAACCCCATACAGATTCCAAGAGAAAGTCACTAAGACATGTCGTAATCAAACTCTCCAAAACGAAAAACAAGGAAAGAATCTTGGGAGGAACTTGGGAAAAACAAAATGTCACCTACGATGAACAGATACTGTGCACGCAAGAACACAACGGGATAGAATATATAAAGCCTTGAAAGAAAAGAACTCCAACTGAGAATTATATGTCCAGCCAAATTGTGCCTCAAATATGAGGGTGAAATCAAGACATTCTCAGACAAACAGAAATTAAGGGAATTTGTGAAAACCACCCCTACAAGAAATACTAAAGGGAGTCCTTACAATAGAGAACCCACAACAGAGAAGAACAAATTAAATCAAGACTCTTGACATCACCACTTAGAAACCAAACCAGAAATAGATGCCCAAAATAAGCTCATAAAATAAGGTACACAGAGAAATAAGGGAGTCAGTCTGCAGATGACACCAGCAACAAAGTAAATAGAGGGCATAAAAGTTGATTACAAAACTTGCAAATGAAGAGGAAGACAGGACAAAGTCTTTAGAGAACTGACTGTTCCAAACTAAATGAGGTAAGAATTTACTTCAGGGTAACCACAAAGAAAATTAACAATCATCCTAAGCACACTCAGAGAGAAGAAAAATACATGGGCTTAGTAAGCACAAAACCAACAATAATGAAGAAAACGAAGAAATACTTGATGACAAGATTAGCTCAGCAAAGAATAATTTTTGGAACAAGGAATTCAACAACAACAATAACAACAACAAAAAAAAAACCACAGTAGAATGACAGCAATAAATTCATGCCTATCAATAATTACACTCAGTGTGAATGGATGAAATGCACTAGTCAAGAGAAAGAAAATGGCAGATTGGATAAGAAAAGATGGCCCATCAAAACACTGCCCAGAAGAGACCCACCTTAGACTCGAAGGTAAAAACAAATAAAAAATTTAGAGGTGGAAAAATAAGAGGTGGAAAAAATATATACCAAGCTAATGGCAACCAAAAAAGCAGGAGTGGCAATATTAATTTCTGAAAAATAGACTTCAAGGTGAAAAGCAGCATAATGGACAAAGAAGGACATTATACAATTCTAAAAGTAACAATTGACAAAGAAGACATCACTGTAATTAATATCCATGCACCCAATGAAAGTGCTCCAAAATATGTAAAACAAGTGTTAACTGTATTGAAAGGAAAGATAGACAGCTCTACAATAGTAGTTGGAGGCTAACATGCCACTTTCAAAGGAGGGACAGAACAAGTAGAAAAAAACTCAGCGAAGATACAGAACTCAACAACACAATGAACCAACTTGATCTCATAGACATATACAGAGCACTCCACCCAACAAAAGCACAATACACATTCTTCTGCAGTGCACATGGAGCATTCTCCAGAATAGACCATATATTAGGACACAAAATAAGCCTCAGTAAATTCAGAAGCATTGCAGTACTACAAAGAATCTTCTTGATCACAGTGCTATAAAATTAGAAATCAATAGTAGGAAGATCAAGGAAACAATATCAAATATGTGGACACTGAATAATACACTGGTCAAAAACTACTGGGTAAGAGAAGAAATAAAGTGTGAAATAAAAATATTCTTAGAAACAAATGAGAATGAAGATACAACTTATCAAAACCTTTGGGACACAGCGAAAGCAGTACTCAAACGTCAGTTTATAGCAATAAATGCACATATGAAAAAAGAGGAAAGAATCAACATCAACGTTCTAACTCAACAACTCCAACAATTAGAAAAAGAGCAACAAAGGAAACCTACAGTATGCAGAAGTAAGGAAATAATAAAGATTAGAGTGAAAATAAATGAAAGAAAAAAAATGGGAAAAATCAGCAAAACAGAAGTTGGGTCTTTGAAAAGATTAACAAAATTGACAAACCATTGGCAAATTTAACAAAGAAAAAGAGAAGATACAAACAATACGAATAATAAATGAGAAGGGTGACATCACAACAGAACAAACTGAAATAAAAAATATAATAGCAGAATATTATGAAGAACTATATTCCAACAGATTCGAGAATCTGGAAGAGATGGACAAGTTTCTAGAAACACAAGATCTGCCTAAACTATCCCAGTCAGATACAGAATACTTGAATGGACACCTAGCAAAAGAAATTGAGCAAGTCATAAAAAATTTCCCCCAAAAAAAGTCTTGGCCCAGATGGCTTCACTGGAGAATTTTACTAAACATTCAGGAAAAAGTTGACGCCTATGCTACTCAAACCATTCCAGAGCATGGAAAAAGATGGAATACTCCCACATTCATTCTGTGAAGCAAGCACAATACTAACACCAAAAACAGGGAAAGACACCACTAAAAAGAAAAAAACTACAGACAAATATCTTCAAATATTGAAGACATAAAAATCTTCAATAAAGTCCTAGCCAACAGAATCCGACAACATACAATAATAATAATAATAATAATAATAATACATCCTGACCAAATGGGATTTATACCAGGTATGCAAGGATGGTTTAGCATCAGAAAAACAATATAATCCTCCACATAAACAAAACAAAAGTAAAGAAACATATGATCCCAATAATCAGCACAGAAAGGGCATTTGATAAAATCCAACACCCATTCCTGTTCAGAACTCTCAGCAAAATAGGGATAGATGGGAAAATCCTCAACATAATAAAAGGCATATATGCAAAGCCAACAGCCAATGACTCAGAGCATTCCCCTTCTAAACAGGAAGCAGACAAGG